TGTCCTGTGGTATCTGACACTGGGAGTCTGCAGTGGGTCCTTGGATTATTGTTGATTGCCGACAGGCTTATTCAGGGGCATCTTGCACACACTCATTAGATTTGGATTTAAGGAGTTTGAAGGCCAGGTTAGTGCCTTGTGCTCTAAATGCCTTATTCCGTTTCATGAGATTCTGTTGAACTTTTGGGCTTTTACAGATGATAACCAGAGGTTGTGCTTCACAGAGGCAGTTTATCAATATAAAGGGAGCTAAATAAAGCAAACCAGTGTTAACACATGCATGCTGACTGAGCACTTCAACCACGGTTACATATACAGTATACTCCTTTTAACACAGCCTTCTAGAAATTACGCCATACTAGACCTTCCATTCAGATTAGGTGGGGCAATGCAAAGACAAAGATTAATATGATGTTGTGAAACTGCTCCTTTGACACTGGCTGAAGGGGTTAGTACTGCCATCCATAGCTGCTGAAAAACAAAGATTGCTGTTGAATGAAATGCATACAAAGGGAACGTTATAACACACACAACGCGGTTATCACTGTGCATTTCAAGTGAATTATGAGCTGCTATAATGTCGTGCTGCACAAAACCAAACAAGCTCATTCACTTTATTAAGCTCCTTTGCATAATATAATGAGAACAATGCATTCAACCCTCAGCTGTCATGAAGTATACAATATATTTGTTAGTTTAAACAATATAATAGGTTATATCATGGCCTAAAGTTCAACCCTCACGTCGTCTCTGACCTATTGCACATGAAGTTAAGTTAAAGAAGGAAAATAAAATGTTTTATTGTGAGACTTAGTCAACACAGTAACGTTTGCATTTTTAACATGGAATGTTTTTTGTTTGGAAAGCTGAAGAATTTGATGATAACAGGTTGTCTGTTATTTCTATCTTAAGTCAAATTTATGACTTTTATAGAGGCTCTTTGTTTTGGACCAATTAGCCTTTTACCTCTTTAATAACATTGTGATGCATTCAGCTAGGTTCAGACATTCACCCGCTGCCAATTTATTCCCTTCAACACTCAGCGCTCTCCTGCTGACACCTTTGGGAACATTTCCCAGACATTAGCTGAGAAGTGGGGTACACCCTGGGCAGCATAGACCACTGCCTTCACACTAACAGCTACTTTAGAATTACCCCATGTAACTAATCTCACTGGGTATGAAAATTGTTACTTTTTTTCCATCCAAGTGTTCTACCTTTTTCTAGATCGTGTTTTTAATCTTACCTAGCACTTAAAGCATGTTTAGCACTCCAGTCTGCATCCGGAGACACACTTTAACATCGTCTCACACAGACCGATGGTAGGATTTATAGTGCCCAAGGACATTTCAGATATGTAAAGACAAGAACTGACAACAACCTTCTGAATAGTAAAGTGCTTTAACATATGCAACAAGCTTCTTGGTGGCTATACGTGATAACTGGGTAACCAGTGAGGACTGTATTGGGACCATACAGAAGATGTGACTGAAACAAATGGCCTTATGTACTACCACACCCCACCTTGTCCATTTCAAACATCAAAATTTATCTTGTATGATTTGACAGTAGGATCATTCAAAAAAGAAAAATCAAATGGCTATTGGGCTTTATTTTTTTAAAAAAAAGTGTATGTGCCCATTTTTGAATTATTTCAAAAATTATGTGAATTATTTCCTCGTATAGTTAAGTTACCTGCTGCACCCCTGGAAAAAAAATACTGTCAAAGTGATGCAATTTAGGTTAGATGAGAAGAATAGAAAGCCACCACAAGCACGAAACGTTACTACTTTTTTCTTCTGTCTTGCTCTGACCTACTGTGTGTTACAGGTGTGTAGGTTAGCGTGCATGTGTTTGTGTGTCAGCCTCACCCCAAGGTGATGAGCAGGTGTAAGGAAGCATGTAGGTGATACCCTTGACTTCTCTCAGTTTTTGGTTTTCAGTTGCAAGCCTCTATTATCTGCTATGTGACACTTGTGTGCCAGCACACCTGCCATTTGCATTAACAGTGGTGCGGCCAGCCCCTCTAAAAACACACACACATGCACTCCGACTGCACTGTTATTGTCACTTCAGCGAGGGCTGCAAAGGCTGCTCTTTGGTTACTGATTATTTGTAGTATAAAACCACTTTGTTTTTGTTCCGACCCTAGTTTCAATTCATATGTAGCCGGCTGTCACTGACCTACATACACAGGGTGTCAGGGTGGGAAACTATCAAGACAGCAGTAAAACAATAAATCACTAACAGAGTAGAGTACATTTGGTGACCTTTCTACTGTCGCAATTTACCCCCATAACACTCCTGTCTTTAGCTGTAATTATGAGTTTACTGCTATAAGTACAGTTATATGAATTCCCACTTAAAAGAGCTTCAAAGAGCTAGTGCAAGTTTCAAAACACAATAGTCATCTCTGCAATCCCAGTTGTCTTTTTTTGTTTTTTCTAGAGGATTGGAACAAGGGGCATGAACCCTGTGCTACCAGTTGGCCCAGTTTCTAGTCGTTTATCTAGTTTCTAGTAACAGCGCTTTAATCCAGGAGAGGCCCCTGCCCCGGTGTGCATACTATAGACATGAAAGTCTATACAAGCCTAAAACATCCACACCCAGCTCAGCCTGATAGATACTCTACATATGTAAGTAGGTAGGGTGGTAAATCTACACAAGGGTTATATATACATAAAACCGTGAGATGGCCAGAAACAGAAGAGTGTTAAGGAAGTAAGACACAGGCCAGCAAAAATGGAAAATTATACAGAAGCTGAATCAAAGTGGGAAAAAGCCAACAGAAAGAGTTAATGAGTTGCTTTGCAACCACATGTTTCACAGTAACTTCAGTGCAGCACAGAGTTGTTTTTTCAAGTCTGTGCAACTTTACTGCCGTTCTTTCATTTGGTGTTTGGATGTAGCACGGTGGAGCAAACCTTCCCATAGGTTTACTGTCAATCGCATTGTTTCCATACTCACTCATACCAAGTCAGTAGATAGAGTACAGCAAAACTACAATCATGATTTATGATGTGAGTGAACTAGAACTAAAAAATAACTCCTATCTTAAAATGTGGATTGTTGCCTCTATTAGATTAAGAGTATTGCAGTTCAAGTAGACATTTATGCAGTTTTATACTAACTGGATTGGTTATTTGGCTTTAAAACAATATTGTTAAAGTATAGTTAAATTGTTCGTTGTTGCTAAGCAGGACAGACTACCTCACCCACATCTATCATCAGTGAAACCTGGATGAAACCTGAACCTGGATATGCACAAGCATACTTTGTTAACACGTTTCAGACTTCACTAAAGATTACTCACTTGATTAGTTTGCAGAAAGACCGCCAAAAATAAACACGCCACGGTCTTTGAGTGCTGTAACACTAACACATGAAAATGTTACCTTTAACTATTACATCAGGTGAGACCTTTCAGTTTTTTCATTTATCATGTGTGGCGTATTTAAATCTACAGTAGCGATTTCCATTGTCCTGCTTTGTTACCACATCGTGAGCATTAAATGGGGAATGGAATCTGAATGCTTCCCTCTAGAGAAATATTTATTGGTGTGATTAGGCAGGAGAGAGCAAATAAAGCAACATGGGGAGGGGGTGGTAGCTGGGGAGAGGGTAATTTCTAAGATTTATGGCGCGGCACTTCACAAAATGCATGCATCCTGTAATTAAAACTCCCCCTTTGCCTCCAGCAGGCGTCTACATTAGTTGGCATCCCCCACAGCCCTCTCCGGCCCTCTGTTAACCCTTACCCACTAGATAATAAGATCTCACGACTGCTTGGCGTCACTAATTAGAGCTGAATGCCACAGAGAGGGGCAAATTTGGTAGCAAGATACAGGAACATTGCTTTCCTTTTATCTTTTCTTCTTCATGTAGCAAGCACAGGTTACAGGACAATATGGAGGATTATTTTACATCTTTTTACTAACTCGTTTGATAAATTCTTTGTTGCATATTACTCTTTGACCCGGAGCAGGAAGGTCATGAGAATTTCCCAAGTCAATCATGCGTTGCTTTCATTTTGTCTAATGGCACGTATCCTATAGTACACACCCTAGATGCTTTGTGTTGCATTCCTATGGGAATGCTGCTTTCATGACTTGTTACTTTTCTGCAATGGTGGGTTTTTTTGTTTTGTGTTTTTTTTGTTTTGCGTATTAACTATGTGGAGGCGTCTGCCGGCTGCTTGTTTTGTCCACCAACACACCAAAATCCAAAGAGCTGCAATTTGCTATCAGACAAAATGTTCACAATGGTTATTTGCGTCAGCTTTGTGCTGAGCCGAGTGATTTCCTGACGTGATATCAAACGCGCTTCACGGGCGTCTGCAACATCAGGGTTCGTGGCTTGGCTGCTGTTTTGGTGGCTGTGTAGTAACAATACGCCTTGGTGCTATTTTCTGTGGTTTTGTTTGGTGGTGCTCAGTTGTACATTGTGTTTCACAACCTTCTATTTTCAATAACACATTATGAAACTCCGTGACCTCACTTATGCACGGTGTGATGTACAGTTGTCGATACTCTCGCGCTTTATCGAGCCTTGTAAATATAACTGCGGACGCCGCTGAAGTTTGAAGATGGCGAATGTGTGCCTGCTGCTTTCTCGCTTTCGAATAAATGCGAGCGTGTAGTAAACAGAACTCTAAGAGGATGTTTCACAGTCACGTTGAAGAAACTAGGCAGGAAAAAAAACATCCACAGGCTCGGTGGCCTCATTGTCACCCCCTCGAGTAACCCCCTTCACTTTTACTGCCAACTTTCACTGACGTTTCCGAGGCCCCAGGCCCCGCTAACAGCTGTACCTAATCAAGTCCTCATCAGGCCACAAGGTCTACTGTGTCTCTCAGATCTTCTTATTATCAGACGGAGACCCCCACCTCCCGTCTTGTTGTTGCATATTACAGCACTGACTAATCATTCTCCATATTTAAAAAATACTTTTATTGTAGTCTCAGAATTTAAAAACACCATCTATCCACTGTCTCTTCACAGCTCTATGAACTGGATGGAGACCCAAAGAGGAAAGAGTTTCTGGATGACCTCTTCAGCTTCATGCAAAAACGAGGTATGTTTTCATATCCTTGTCCCCCTGTGTCAAATTTGATTTCACTAACTATAGGACGTCCTATTTATTCCATTTCTTATCTTGCTGTATCACATATCCCCGCCTTATCTCCGGCCGCTGTCGTTGGCAGCTTCTTAATGTGATGAGGAGAGAGGATGATCACCCACCCCCTTCTTTCTCTGATATATGACACAGCACTGTCTACTCATCTTTCACTGGCATGGGTGGGGTCTTTATTCATTTCAGCGATGATTGCTTTATGGTCACACAGCAAGTCGGCGTTCCCAGGCTATAACTAGAAGGGACACACTGTATCGATGCTTGAGGATGGATTAGTTTACCTTCCCATCCTGCAGGCTGTCCGCATAGCTCGACCCCCACTTCTAACACTACACGCATAACCACTTTTCACTCTTCTTCTTCTTGTGTTCAGTGTGCTAACGCCAGACTGCCAACTTGAGATAATTATTTTCTTGAAGCCGTGTTGATTTCACAGGATGCTAATGGCTGATATGATCAGATCAGTGGGCGGACGACTGACATGGGAGAAAAGAAAAGTTTGCTCATGACTGAAAAAACAAAAAGCCAAGCAGTAGTAGATGTTCACACAGCCTCTGGTAGTGTGCTCCTAGATTCTGAAAGCGCCATCTCTAGGCCATTATAAGAAATATGACATGAGAATTATAATCACTGAGAAGACAAATTGATTAAAAAAAATGCTTTGATTGGTTTGGTTTTTCAGCCAATATAATAATAGCAATTATACAGCATATTAGTAATGTAAATGAAAGCGTTTTATTCCGTACTTTGACCTTGAGCAATAACTAAATTCTAATAATTTTCTCAAATAAAATCAAAATAGCTGTCACAATTACTCTGCCTTTTTTTCCAGACATTTTTAGAGCAACTTCTTTCTCATCAGAGTTTGTCTTAGCTTGTTTCCAATTATCTTTACTAGCCGTAAATGAGTCACACGTCTAAGTTTTGATAAACTGCCCTTTGGGTATAAAAACCTTTTCAGTTCTGAGAGGAACCACAAATCTCTCTGGGGTTGTGTCAGGGAGGGCAGCAAGTGTAAAAGCTAAACACGTGGAGTTGCCCACAGTGGCGTGCCCTTGTGAATAAGCTGAAAAGTATCTAATGATAATAACGTGTTGTTGTAATTGAAATATTAGATATTTAAGGTAAATACTTGTAAAAATGACAGTTTTCAGTGGAAAAATAGTTCCAGGTTTTGAAATATAAGAATTCAAAGTTAAAAAGTGAGGGCTGACCTCTGAACCCCATCAGGAGTGGACTTGAAAAAAGCGTGGTCATACAAGGACACAAACCACTGACGCTCACAGGAGTTTGATATATTTGATGCTTGTTCGTTTCTATGTAAAGCCGTTAATGTCATAAGTGGTCTTACTCTGCCCATTGTTTTGTATTTTAACATCTAGCCAAAAGACAGTAAATTGTTCTGAATCTGGTTGATTATTTGTGGGGTTGCCTGGATGCCAAGTTCGTTGGTTCAGCTCAAGGGTAAAAGCAAACCTAGTGTAGTTTCCTAGCACGGGCGAAGCATCTATTAGATCTGCGCGTTGGTGAGCTCCGCCACTCGACCGCAGCACCGTCACTCTGAGCACTTAAACAACACCTTGCACTGGCAAATTACTGTTTGCTAATACTGAATGGTAAAAGTGTGGTCTTTTAATCGTGACAAAAGAGCCAAAGAAGGTTTTGCTACAATTAAGTTGTGAGCTACAGCACTGTCTTAAACATGTAAAATGAATGGGTGTGACCGCGCACCACCTTTATTGGCTAAAGGGAGACAACTGTTATTTCAGGTACTGTTGTTTGTCTTTGATGTTATTTCATATGTATTTTATTGGTGGAGCATGACTGTATTTTTTTCCTGTTTCCTGTTGCTGCAGGAACCCCAGTGAATCGTATTCCCATCATGGCCAAACAGGTCCTGGATCTGTACATGCTGTACAAGCTGGTAACAGAGAAGGGTGGCCTGGTGGAGGTTATTAATAAGAAACTGTGGAGGGAGATCACCAAAGGACTCAACCTGCCTACCTCAATCACCAGTGCAGCCTTCACTCTTCGCACACAGTCAGTATAAAAACACTCGTTTAACTGGTGCTTAAAGGTTACTCAGGGCGTTTTCACACCTGTAGTTTGTTTACTCTGGCCCGACTTTGGTCATGAGTTTGTAAACTTGACTTCACATGCAGAAGTCCAAAATGCATCCGTTACTACAAAACATGTAAGAATGTTCAGTCCACTCATTTGCCGGATGTGTCTGAGGCGGGAGCAAGAAAAATAAATACAGGAAGAAGGTGCCGTGTTCTGGTCTACTGGAGAACATGGAGAATTTCTTTTCATTTCACGGTTAGTTGTTAGCACATCCATAGTACCTTTCCGCATTAAGAATACAAAGCATACATGGCTACGGGACATTTTTTTTTACCTGAAACGTTTAACGTACACCTGATAGTTGGTTCGCATCATTTTCACACCTTCTCCAAAGGGTCTCGGTGCTGTTGTTTTGGTCCACACCCAAGTGTGATTACTGTGTTCACAACCAGACACACCAAGTGGGGAAACAGAACCAGTGTCCGATTTAAACTGACTAAATACCGTGTGAAAATACCCTTAATAGCACCCTTTATTAATTAAGCAATTAAGCAAGAGTTAGCTAAAGTTAAATCGTTCCATACTTGTTGCTGTAGAAATTAATCCCTATATTAAGACCGATCACTCCTAGTTAGCTGAAGTTGGGCCAAACTTTGTCTTCGAAAACTCAGAAGGGCACACCTGTTGTGCACTTTGTTGATTTCAGATACATGAAGTACCTGTACCCATATGAATGTGAAAAGAGGGCACTGAGCAACCCCAACGAGCTTCAAGCAGCCATCGACAGCAATCGACGGGAGGGCCGGCGACAGAGCTTTGGCAGCTCTCTCTTCACCTACTCTCCCAATGGGACTCCCACCATGCTGTCCTCGCCGAAGCTCCCCACGCCCAACATGGGCTTAACAGTGGGCACCAACGGGACCTCGCTGGGTCACATCCACAAGATCAAGAAAGGTGAGATTTGCTCATTGCGCTGCATGCACATCGAAAAAAATTTACTGTTTGAGGGACATGTTCTTTGATGTTGATTGTTTTGAACAGTGTTGGTCAAGTTACTTGAAAAAAGTAATCAGTAACTAATTACTTTTTAGTAACTAATTACTGATTACTTCCCCAAAAAAGTAATCCCGTTACTTTACTGATTACTTATTTTTCAAAAGTAATTAATTACTTAGTTACTTAGCTACATAGGTACTTTTTAAAAACACGATTTACAACCTGAGGAGGCGATAAAGCGATAGATCTGTCAGCCCAATTCTACTTTTTCTACATAATCCATCATACAAAATGTAATTAAATGGAAAAGTATCTTTTTTTAACTTGTTTTATCAGTTTTAATCTTTTAACTTCATGCATGAAGCAAAAATAAAATTATATGCACCGTTCTCTGACTTGAATAAATTTGTTTAACATTTAACCCTATTTTCTGCACATTCCAGCACATAAAATAAAATATTTTTTGTGTTTACACTCAGTCTTTCAAATAGATGCAAGTAAAACACAGCAGAAAATAACTAAAGTCAAAGACTTTTGCTCTATTTTCACCTGTAAAGCAGGAGTGGTGTAGGCGGAGGTTTACCCTGGTGCAGGTGTGCCGCGGCGGTCAGTGGAAGAATCCGCGAGTTTCTCTGTAAATTTCCCATTACGTCGTAGTGCACTCGGTGCTTGTTTAGGGGTTTTTTTTTCGCTGTAAAAAGAAGTTTTCTTCCCACGCACAACGGACACTAATGTTTTTGTAACTTTTTATGGAATCAAACTCAAAGTAAGGTCAGTACTTCCACACTTTAAACGCTGCACGCTCATACTCTCTCCCACAATCGATATGTGATCCATTGTTGATCTGCACACAGCTGTTGTCACTAACGGCGCACTCGCTTACGTCACTGTCGTGAGACATTCTCGCAAAAAAATCACGGTTTTAGTAACGCAGTAACGCAGTGTTCCTACGGGAAGTAACGGTAATCTAATTACCGTTTTTGCAATAGTAATCCCTTACTTTACTCGTTACTTGAAAAAAGTAATCAGATTCCTGGTTTTGAATCAGGTTAAAATACATGGATATGGCAGTAACTTTGTCTACTCTCAGGTCAAAATGACAAATTCACGTCAAGTATACGGTTTGTCAGCATAACGTGACAGTATAACGATTTACTCTTGACTGTGTTGGATCAAAGTTTTGAAAATTTAAGTTAAAATGAGGATCCACTGTGAATCTTGAGAATTTTACTGATAGCACATTTATGATCAGAGATCATTTCTGCCAAATTTATCTCTTAAACGGAAACTTCAAATAAAGAAATAGCATCAAATCTGATTTGCTGTCATCTCTCTCTTTAAAAGAGCTTAACCCTGGGACCTTCCCGTAACACACTGCATCTTATTTATTATCTGTTTTCTGTGGTCACGCTGAAATTTATGTCTGGGGACTATAATGCATCATATGAGTTTGCTTGACTTTGAGTTCCCCTTTCTCTTTGTGCTGCTGGGCCAGAAGAAGAGGGAGGCCAGCCTCTGGCAGGCGTCAGCATGGCTCGTTTGCCAGCGGGGGGCTTGGCAGGTCACTCAGTGGCTGCTGTGCAGGCAGCAGCAGCCCATGCCGCCATGGCTGCTCAGGTGGCCGCTCTGGAGCAGCTGAGGGACAAACTGGAAGCAGGCGAGCCGCCAGAGAAGAAGATGGCGCTGTCTGCCGAGGAACACCAGCGACTGCTGCAGAGAGCGCTGCAGCATAACCTGCTAGCCATGACTGCTCAGATACCTATGAACATTCGCATCAACAACCAAGGTACTGAACAGTGGAGCTCTGACATATTCGGGTAGAGAGAGAGGAACAAAACAACCAGTCAGACATGACTTTCATGTTTTGCACAGTAGCTGCAGGCTGTTCTACACTCTCGTTTGAGGAAATTCCTCCTTTATCTAATCAACATGAGATAAAAGAGTACACCACCTTTTTTACATCTCCCTGGTTTCAAAAGCTCAAAGATGCAAGAACACTGATTTTGCTGATGTGAAATGAAACTGTAATTTCTCACTTATTCTCGATTGTCAAGAAAAAGCAAATGGCCAAGTCCAGATAAAAAAGCAATATTAAGGTTGCTGGGAAATATTAAGTCGATAATGTCAGCGTGAGCGCTAGCAGCAGTGATCTGTGTATGCAAACACCCACGTGAAAATGAAAATGTCACCTCTGGTAGTGGTTAACATGTAAATGAACAGTAAAAGAAGAAGATGAATTAATGTATTTCAAATGGTAACGGTCGGTTATTAGAGTGTATTTTTAGGGACATTCGTTTGTTTGTTTTTAACTATTCCAGAGTTGAAGTTTATTTTTGTCTTTACTGCAAATCAAAATGAACTAAAAATAAAAATCTGGAGTTATTACGACATCACAGTTACTCTTGGCATCACAGGTTTTTACATTTCATTGTTGCCAGTGCGAGCTAGGTTTGACACATTTCCCTTTTCATGACAGTTAGTATCTCAATGCATTCTTGTAATCTCACCACAAACCACAGCACCCAACTGCGAGAAAGTAACACCTAGCAGGGCTATAGGTTGACCTGCTTAGCTTATAGAAGCAGCGTGCGTGCATACATACATGCATGATTATCTGTGTGGGGATTCCCTTCTGTAAGCACGCACCTTGATCTTATAGAAGGATTTGTCTCGGTTACTGTCTATCTGATCGTGCACATGAACCATTTCTCGGTAAGTGACTTCAGAGAAATGTTCATTGGGACATTTTTGAAAAATTCAGTTTTGCTCCTACTGTGGGACGGTTTTGTTTCTCCATTTGGTTTGAGTATTCTTAAGTCAAATCTGGATCCAAAAATGAATAAGGATGAAAACTGCTTTCTTCCAGATGGCAGACAAGACTCAGCTCTGAACCTCACCACCAACGGCACAGGGAGCATCAGCATGTCCGTGGAGCTCAATGGAGTGGTATACACTGGTGAGCAGCTCCTCTGTAACTTAAGGTGACACAACAAAATGTCAGATATGAGCTCGCTGCTTCGCAGTTAGTCATGAAAAGTTAAGTATTTCCAGTAAGACTCTTGGCTGACTTACAGATCTGGAGAAGCATCAGATTGGTATAGAGACCAGCCCCCTTTCTTCCTCCGAATGTTCCTATCAGCACCTCTTTTGTTTCTGTTTCATATGTTGTTTCGTTGCTTATTTGATTTGTGAAGAAATGGAGAAATGATTATAGCTGTAAGAGATGTTACACAGAGCAGATTATTCCTGTTTTGTGGCAAAGCAGAGTTGTGCAGTAACATCGTAGAGTGTTGTTGTTGGAGGAAGATTACCAAGTTTGGTAAGACCTCAGTCTCGTGGGCCTAGACCCCTTGGATAATCTGGCTGTTGGAGATTGCTTAATGTCGTTAGGTGAAATTGGTCAGAAATAGGTGTACAGTTGTGCACCAAAGAGCTCTTTGGGACCGCTTTAGTCACTAGCAGAACGCTGCTGTCTCCAGTAGTTTAAATGGCAGATGCTGGCTTGTCTGCACATTCTCACTGACTATTTGCAGAGCTGCAGTGAAACGTCAGTGTGACTCAAATGGGAAACTGAGCACGTTTACCTTGAAACTAAAAACTAAGAGAATAAAAACGGGGCGAAGACAAAGTTGGCAATGTGATTGAAGTATCTATCAAGCGTTGATAGCCAAACAATCCGGTAGTAAATAGAATAGAGGGTTACCTAGGTAACTAGAGCCTGAATGTTGTTAGTGACCAGCCATCAGCTTCAGATTGATGCGTGAAGAGCAAGTCTGTTCTGGTGCAGCTTAAACAACGCGTTTCAAATGGCACAACTTTTTCTTTGAAAGTGAATGTTCGCTTTTCACTGTTTGACTACTAACAGGTGAGCAGTTGGCACCTGTGTCTGCAGACAAGTCAGCTTCTTCCATACAAACTGCATGCGACTATAGCAGTTGCAAGGAGGTTTTTGTTGAAGCACCTTCCCCCTCGAGCAACCACTCGCCAGTTGGTCAGGAAAGGCAGTTTTTTTCCTAGCAAAACGTGGTCGCCAAGCGGTTGCAGATCAGTATATACAGACTGTAATTCAAAGCATTTGACAGATGTTTTGTACTCTGACTCCTTTTTGTTTTCCCTCTTGTCGTTTTCTATCCAGGCGTTCTTTTTGCTCAGGCAGCACCAGGGTCAGCCTCGTCTGGTGCATCTGCATCGTCCGTCACCAACAAGGCTCCCAGCAGTCGCGTCGCTCCGCAGCAGCAGCAGCAGCTGCAGAACACACCTACCTCAAACTCCAGCAACTCATTGTCTTAACAAACTCCCAGCTTTTCCTTCATTCATTTTTTTATTTTATTTACCACGCTAAGTGAAGCCAAAAAGCAACCTCATTTTCTATCTCACCAATGCCAAAAATAGAAAAGAAAAGAAAAGAGAAGAACCATAAACCATACAGAAAGACACAAACTGGAACTCTTTTCACTTGAAGTACACTATCTCAGGTTTCCTCTCACAAACTCTTTTGTTCTTCATCGCCAAAATGATCTTGAAAAAGCAAAATCTCCCAACTGAGAGCCAGTATATGCTAAACAAAGACATATGCACAGCCTGTGAATTATTTATTTCTGCATCAATGTACAGATTATTTGGAGAACAAAAGAGAAGATAAAAACTAGGAAAGCATTGTTTACACACACAAACACAGCTACTGACTGACAATGATGTTTTATCCTTCAGGGGAGAGATTTTATTTTAAGTTTTCATTGTCATTATTGTCATTATTTTATTCTCTTTATTGTTTT